CGACATTGTCTGGCTGACGGCATCCGAAGGAGGCCAACCCTGTGGGATCTTACCGGCCGTTGGGAGGTGTATGGCAGTAGGCGGTCTCGCAGGAAGGGACCTCGGAGGTCTTCTAGTCCAACCCCCTGCTCAAGCAGGAGACTCTGTAGTGTTTCAAACGGGGCTGTCCAATATCTTCTTCAAACCCTGTAGCCACAGCCTCTGGAGGCAAGCCGTACCTTAGATTAATTGATCTGGGATTACAGAATGACAAGAGCTGGAAGGGACCTTGGAGGTCTTCTAGTCCAACCCAGATAAGTGTGGGTCACAGGTGGGGTGCTTGTTCCTTACCCACACTGGATTATAACTCACGAAAATAAAAGGAGGAGGGGTCTCCCCAGTCACACACCCCCCAGGTTTGTGTTAAATGTGTATGAAATGTGGAATTCTCCTTATTTATTCTTCTTTTTTCTCCTTGCCGATTCTGTCTCTTTCGCTGTTGTTCTCTTTTGTTTTTTTCTCTCCCTCTTTCCTTTTCTTTTTCTCGCTCATTCTCTTTCGTTCTTGCTCTCTTTCTCTTAATCTCTCTCGTTTTCTTTCTCATTCTCGGTCTCTTATTTTCCCTCTTTCATTCTCTCTTTCTCATTCCTCCTTTCTCCAATTCTTTTTTCTCTCATTCTCTTTCATTCTTGCTCTCTTTCTGTCTTTCTCTTAATATCCCTCATTTTCTTTCTCATTCTCTGTATCTTATTTTCTCTTTCTCATTCTTCCTTTCTCTAATTCTTTTTTCTCTCTTTCCCTTTCATCCTTGCTCTCTTTCTCTGTCTTTCTCTTAATATCCCTCATTTTCTTTCTCATTCTTTTGGCCTCTTGTTTTCTCTCTTTCATTCTCGTTTTTTTCTTTCTCTAATTCTTTTTTTCTCTCATTCTCTTTCATTCTTGCTCTCTCTGCCTCATTTTCTTTCGCATTCTCTTATTTTCCCCCTTTTGTTCCCTTTCTCATTCTTTCTCTTTCTCTCATTCTCTTCTATTCTTTCTCTGTCTCTTTCTGTCATTTTCTTTCACTCTCTTACTATCTCTTTCTCATTTACTCCCTCTTTCCCTCTTTCATCCCCTTATTCTTTCTCATTCTCACTCTGTCTTTCGCTTTCTCTCTCTCTCATTTTCTTTCCTTCTCTTCCCATCTCTCATTCTCTTCGTTTCTCCTTCTCTCTCTCTCTCTCTC